TCCTCCTTTCCTTCAATCTTCACACGAGCTCACAACTTTCATTACCTATAGACCTCCTCAGTTGAAGGGGGAAAAACGATAATATTTTCAAGTCATCATCTCAATTCTTCGTCACCAACTACTTGCTATGGATACCGATAGTCCCAATACTAGGGCCCCTTTGGGGGGGGCCGTGATCCCTGACCCGAGCACTGAGGGAATAATTAGCAACCTGGACCTGACCGCTGAAACCAACACCGAAGGCATGAATGCCCTCCGAGGAGCCCTTGTCAGCATGCAGACGACAGACATGGATGCCCAAAGGGCGGCCACCGTTAGGCTCTATGAGGTGATCCAGAAGGAGAAGGAGAAAGCGAAGGAGAAGAGGGAGAGGAAGGAGAGGGAGAAAGAGAGGAAGGAGAAGGAAGAGGAGAAGAAGAAGAAGGAAGAGGTGGAGCGGAAGAAGATGGAGAAGAGGGAGAAGGCGAAGGCAAAGAGAGAGAAGGCAAAGGCAAAGGTGAAGGAGAGGAAGGAGAGGGCAAAGGAGAATAGGGAGAGGAAGAAGAGGGAGAAGGAGGAGGGGATAAAGGTAAAGGAACCCGAGAAGAATGGTAATACCACTACTACCACGGCGGCTACCAGATGGTTTATGGCTGCGGTTTCCATTCCAGCTCGACCAATAAATTATGATGAATATCAGGATTTCACGAACATGAAGACAAGTCCTACACCCTCCCCTATCATGCACGGTGAAGCCTCTGCCACAGGTGAAGTCATGGAAGGCCCTCAGGCCAGAACTCCTCACGATGTGCTCCAGGGCTCCAGACTCCAGAGCATGCGCATCATGGAGTCAATACCGAAATCCGTACGGGGTGAGCTCGCTGTTGCTCCTACTGCACAAGAAAAAGCAGTTACCAAGGCCAAATCCCCGCTTCTGAAGCCCAGGCTTGGTGCGGGGATTACGAAGAAGCCCATTCCGAGAGATTTGAAGGCAGCAGTGAAGGTTAAGGCTAAGGATGAAGCTAAGAGGGAGGAAGAGATGGAGATGGAGATGGAGGTGGAAACGGAGGTGGAGAGGGAGATGGAGAGTCAGAGAATTACATACACCATTACCGCCGGCAAAGTCACCAGAGTCTCCCGCACTAGCGCTCTCCCCAGGGCACCCCGAACTCCTCAGCGCCGGAGTAGGCGCGTTTTGGAGAAGACCCGGAAGCCTGCGCACGATGAGCCCGCTGTTGTTTCCACCACGCGGGAGGAGGGGGAAGCTACTAGGGACTCTTCGGTTGAAGATGAGGTCACGGGACCGAGTGGTCAGACTGCAGGGAATATTGTGGTTAAAGTTAGGACGGAGAAGGAAAAGGGTGGGCCTGTAAAGGTTATCGACAAGGCCAAGTCCCCTATTCTGAAGCCCAAGAGAGGTGCGGGAGTCTCAAAGCGGGGAGGTGGATATGGCGCCCGTGGTCGCCGTAGAGGCAAATCTGGAGGTGGTAAGAAGGCATAGCATGGAAATGGGATAACTTTGGTTTAAAAGTACCTTCTTAGAATGCATTTTTCTCCTTTATTTTTCTTTTTGGAAAGAGTGACCCTGTATGATGCAATATCCGCTAGTATCATGGCCTATGGATTTGTGGGATTCCTGGCCACTTTGGAAACTATGCGCAACGTATTAGTTTATATTGGCTATCATAACAGATTTAGAGGCAGATACAAGAATATAGTGCAGCCCAAAGATGGACCTCTTAAGGCAAAGAGGGCTAACCTTTACTGCTCTAGGCATTTCATGAGTACTTCACTTTCCTCTCCCCTTGCTCCCCTCCCGCCTTGTTGCTAAACCACCTCTATTGGCCCTCATTATCAGATGTCCAGTAATTATCCGCATTCGGGGTCGGATTTATTATTTACACGGACACCTTGCTAGAAAATTAATCTATTCTTTAACTTAAAATCGGATAGAATCTTAAACCTGAACACTAATGTTTCACGCCCCGGAATAGGACAGTTCACGAGGGGATATACTGAGTGTATTGTCTTTAAGCATTAGGCTTATTGTCCCCCCCCCCCCCCAGGCATGAACCTGGAACAGATTAAGGCTAAAATCTTGTCAAAGCTCATTCTAGCATGTGTATGCAGAGTAACGATCCCTAGTCAACTTAGTATTGAAAGACTTTTCCTGTCAGGCATCGTGGGCTAGATATCGTGTTGTGTATGATCTGGCCAAACCCCGCTTGAATGGTCCAACTTACTATATATTTTTTTTTCCGGCTTGCGGAATATTTTTATTTTCCTCGCATGCTTAGGCTCCATATTAGCTGCCCACTATTCATAATCTACTCAGGTACTAGTCTCGCTCGATTCAGTGACCGATTGACGATGCATAGAGCCCCGCAAACAAGGGAGTTTCTGAGTGGTTAACAATTCTGCCAAACCCCACCCGGATGCTACCAGCATTAATATGTAGTGTACAAAGACAATCATCCATAATTAGACGAGCCACTGCCCGCATTTTTTTCAGCCTAATGGACCCTCACTTCCACAAATATCCCAAGCTTGGTTTGTTTTCACCTCTTGGGGTGGCAGTTCTAGTCTCTAATGCCCCATTGCTATGCTGACGTAGGCATAACACAAATCGATTCAATAAGTCCATGATCCCCACTAGAGAACAATTCCAAGCCATTTCGAGCGCCACATGTAAGGATTTTCGTGAAGAAGATACCGAGCGTCTTCATTTTTTGGGCAATAAAAATGGAATCTTTGTAATCCTGCTCTCCACTGTCATACAAACTTGGGATAATTGTCCGTAACCACTTGTTGATAGCGGAGAGCTTACCTAACAGATAACCCTCGAGTGATAGAACCTTGATTCCCAGGATCACCTCTATTGCTGGAATCGTGAGGTGCTACTCGGCATGCTCTCGCGATGGTTTGTTTGTTCGCATGGTCTCTAGGAACGCGCTTTAGCTTCGGGCATGTTTTGGCTCTCGGGAAAGCATTTGGGCTGCAGGAATGTGCAGAAGTTTTGGATCAATGCATCCGCCGGAAGGAAAGCGGAAAGGCCGTAAGGGAGGCCGGAAAGCCAGATTTCCGGAGGCTATAGGAAGTGGGGATTTAGCTTGCCTTTCCTTTTGCCAGCACGGGAGTCAGCAAGCAGAAGGGGAAGCATACGAGAAATTGCATGAACGTGTATGGTAGTCCATGGAAGGATAGAAGGACTTGGTTTGCTGTTGATATATACTCCTATCTTTGCTATTAGTTGGTAGAGAGAGTGTGTGACGAAGAAACAGAGAACGTCCCCGCTCCTGAGTTGTGTGGTCGTTTCGTGTGTGGGGTTTTGGCATTTCGTTTCCCCGTTTTGCCGTTCGTCTTTGCTATTGTCTTCGTCGATCAACGTTTAGGATCTATATCGCGGTAATAATGATGGAGCGGTGCCAAGTCAATGTGGGGGATTGGCTGACAGGCAGAAATTCGAGTCCAAAACTTCCGAGGGTGTTGGTGTGGGTAAGGTGAGTCCGTTGAGTGTATATGTCTCGGGGTATTTGTCCATGAGCAAGCTTTTGGTATGCAGCGGGTCTCCTTCCAAGATAAAAGCGTCTATATTGCCAAGAGCCTATTCTCTATTGACTCCGTATGGGAATAGTAGCAGTGAACCTCCAACGGCGGCTTTCGCTTTCAATCCATTCAAATGGCTCATCACCTGAGGTGCTTGGAATAGGCGTGCGAAGATCGCACCAATTATTGCCTCGACCAGCCTCGGGCTAAATGGGGGAGGAGATTGACGGAGGATAGGAGCTCTGGACATGGCTTGTGCGAACTGAACAACTTAGGGTCTGTTTGGATACGACCGTTCGCGTCCGTTCCGTTCCGTTCCCCATACAAATTTTCTTACCCTTCCGTTTCGTAACGGTCGTTTTGTATGAGAAAATTGAACAGTCTCAAAAGGTTCCGTTCCCGCCAAACAGAGCCTTAGGACAGGTTTGGTTGGTGTTGTGAGGGTGACAAGTAAAAGGAAGGATTGCAGGAAGGATTGCGATGCAGTCACAAACATGTGCTAGTACCATAATATTATCACACGTCACCACGATACTCTCCTAGATTATTGAGTTTGAGAAAGGTTACCCCAAGAAAGTCGCTGCATGTGGGGTTTACCGTGAGTGACCTCGGTTTTGTTGGCGGATTTTCACACGAAATGGGGAGAACCCGGTGCAGCTAAACCCCTCTAATCACAGTAATACCGTTTACTTGCATCATAAATTATGGTGCATTCGAGGGTTTGCGCGGGGAGACCTGCTCAGGTTCGAATTAAATGCTCGAAATTAGTGGGCATCTATCGCTACTCATCAACCATCCCATCCCACCAACTGCGCCATGGCCCACTCGCTCAACAACTCTACCGATTTTATTTCCTATCTATCACGTTCTCATTTTGTCCAGTGATCGTGTTACCGGGTTACGGTTTACCATTTTTTTTTCTAAAAAGAAGTTGTGCTACTTTTTACTTGATTGTTGATGAGGTATCATACAATTATTGATGAGAGGTGCCCATTCCCGAGCCATAACTTCGCATGGATTTATTTAATTCGGGCCCGAGTAGAAACGCCAAGACCAGCGGCAGCGGCGTTACCAGGGTGAATCAGCATGTTGACCTTGCTAGACTCGTATGGGGTTGTGTCGTTTCGGCGGCTATGTCGGGAACACAAAAACACGCAATAGGCCTCGGATGAGGGTACTCTTAACCTTGGTAAGACTGTGTGTTTTGTAGCCTGAGCCGCATACCGCTATCTGACTTCCCCACATAACCTCCAGAACGATACAACCCCCCGACGCAAGTCTAATCAACGGACTTGGGCTTCGGTAAGCTGAAGATAAACCACTATTTGCTACTATGATATGTACTTGGGGTTAGGAAATGGAAAAGGAACAGTGACTGAAAACATGTCAAGGGATTATGATATCATACCTAACAAAGTAGCATGGCTCAACCCACAGATAGATCCAAATTGCCATTTTGCCAAGACATTCTTAATTCCTTGTGCGTTGAGCCAACCCGTTCGTTGTCCTCTCTTCTACAGTATATTAGTACGGTAAGTCACAGCTGAACACTCCAATTCCATCACCGTCAACATCCCTTCCAAGGAACAACGTCATTAACGACCATCCCTTATACCGGTATTGAAACAATGGCTCCGCCAGATCCAACCCTGACGGTGCTGCCTGCTGCTATCCAAGAAATTATTGTCGTTTCCATTAGCGACCTACACACAATCCCGTTATCCGAGGTACACATCCCCTATGGGGACATCCTCATCGTGGCCGGTGACCTTTCCGAAGGGCGTCCAGCACAACTCATGCAGCGTCTGTCCGAGCTACTCGCTCTACCCCACGCACTCAAGGTAGTTATTGGCGGTAACCATGACCGTGCCCTCGACCCCAAGTGCGATGCCCGTGACGCCGCGATATATAACGACCTCTACGAGCGCCAGCAGTGCCGTGCAGCCTTCCGAGAAGCCAGGGAGTCCGGCATCATCTATCTTGAAGATGAGAGCACACATGTGACAATTGCTGGGCGTACATTCAAGGTATTCGGATCACCTAAATCATTGGCTAGATCGACCAATACTGCTTTTGGATATTCGGAGGATGATGCCTTCTCGCTGTGGGACATGATACCCGCTGGTGTTGACATCCTCGTGACCCATGGGCCTCCGGCAGTGTACCTTTCTGATGATAAGAATGGATGTGATGGGTTGCTGAACGCGCTTTGGAGGGTTCGCCCGATGCTTCATGTCTTCGGGCACGTGCACGCTTCGTATGGGACGACTAAGCTCAGTTATGATGATATGCAGGTGTCCGAAGCCCAGAATCTTAGGAGGCTTTCGGAAGCGCGAAATCGGCGGAAGCCACAGGAAGCAGAATCCCAGGGCCGATACATTCCGCCACATCTTAGGTGCAAGATGTTCGGTGGGTCAGCTGCTGCTACTTCACACCAAGTCTCCTCCGATTTTCCAGCTGGGGCTCCAGTTGTTGAGGTGCCCGTTTTGGTTCAAGGACAAACGAGACTTATTAATGCTGCTGTTAAGACGCCAGGAACACCGCGGGGAGCAATTGTGACCAAGATACTGCATTAACTAGGAAGCACCGTCTTGCGCTACTAGGTTAGTTCATAATTATTCCCTTCGTGGTTTGGCTCGGTTTTCCGCCGCTTTGCTCTTTGCGGCTAGTAATATTCCTCTTAAAGGACTATCATTAACTCATTAGATATCACAGCTCTGCCCATACATTATTTCAACTTACTCTGGTCTGGCAGTGCTCCCCAGTTAAGGCTACCAGGTAGTTTTTTTTTTCTTTTCACTTTTGTGTTCTTTTCTCGTTCAATAGTGTTTTATTCCGGTGGCTTTGCTTTCTATTTTTTCTTTCTGTCGTTGTGTTCTCTTTCTTCCTTCTCTTGCAAGCTGGGGAATTAAATTAAATCCTTCATCTCCACTTCACCACCCGTGATTCCAACTAGTTTCCTAACCGTGAAAGTCACCTTCTTAAGGAAACATCACAGCTTGTACCGTCCTTATCCAGCATTCTGGGCCGTGTTGGCAGGCGCCCTCGATCGCCACTATATCACAGCATCAGCAACGTATTCTGTTTCTATCTGACTAATTATCTGGGATTGTTGCTCTTGTGATAGTCAACCCCCCTGAGTAGCCTTCCAGAGTAGAGGGCTGTTGTTAGTCCAGGGTTTCAGACAATCCTTTAGAAGCTCATCCATAAGGTTTATCCTCCCCAGAATATCTTCGCTATTCCTGACCCGAGAAGATCGCGCGATGGGGGCGTCTGAGGGGCTGAGGCTAGTTAGGTCAAATTTATTCACTCTGGGCACCCAAACCTCACCAACTTGATCCAAGTTGGAGTTAGTGTTCCCAACCGTCCGGGGTGGTGAAAATACAGGACGGGCATCTTTGGGTTCTGTAGGATGGCGGCCCCTCCAGGGTGAAACAGCGGTGGTCAAGGGGACGGTAGCGGAGCTCTGGGGACTGCCGGGGACAGCACATTATACCACGGAAAAACATCAGATATGGTTGGAGCATTGGGGCTGACAAGGTCCTTTTGTTCAGAGGATTTCAGGCTAAAGACGGTGGTACTCAGTAGTCCGTCCGGTCTTACCAGTCCCAGGCGTAGTCCGTCCTATGACAGCACCCCCCGAAAAGATAGACTGCAATCTATATCCCGTCCCGCCCCACCCCAAAGACGGACGGACCTGACGGTTGGGAACACTGAACTGCTCGAACAGAAGGTGTGGGTTGATCATAAAGCAAATAAACCCCTAGTGTGCGACAACACCTACAATACCGCAAAATTTTTACACTCTGGATTGTATGCGAAATTTCCAGCTTGTCCTGTATCCGTTTGGCATACTATGAGTCAGACATCAGCTCATGGAGATATTGACAGGATATGTACTCGAGTATGTTGGGTTTTGTGGTTTCCGCTTATGGTACTGTACAGTACTGTCGCTACACACTGGGGGTTTACCTACTTTAGGGACAATCCACACTTTCTGTTTCGGCTGGTAAATTTATCCGTTGTGTGAAAAGGAACCTGCGCCACCCACCAGGACAAATGGTGCGCCAATTCTTGGCTGAGGAGCACGAGTAATAATATTAAGAAAAAAAAAACTAAGTCCTAATAGGACTTAGGGCCTCCCTGGGCGGATGTTTCCATTCTCATTCGTAGATGCCGACCTCAATATATCCTGATCGTCAACGGCTAGGTAGGCAGCGCTGAAGCCAATCAATGATAAGTCTAATTCGGAGAATTGTTGAACGAAGTGATACGGGGATATGAAATTCATTGCACCATACAGCGCAGTAAGCCCAATGGCCAAATCCAGGCTTTAAGCAAAAAAAATCGGTGCGACATTCATGCTCTCGGCGTTCGGGGTCCCAGTGCGTTCGCCCTCTATGCCAAATTTCCTGCGGTGTAAAATGCTTATGACCCTCCTTCTCCTTTCCTTCAATCATCACCCAAGCTCACAACTTTCATCCCCTACACATCTCCCCAGTCGCTGGGGGAAAAACGATAATATTTTCAAATCATCATCTCAATTTTTCGTCGCCAACTACCCACTATGAATACCGATACTCCTGACACCGGTTCCCCTGGGGGGGGGGGCGTGACCCCTGGCCTAAACACGGAGCGAATAATCATTAACCTGGATATGGGTGCTGGAACTAATACTCAAGGCATGGGTGCCCTCCGAGCTGCCCTCCTTAGCCTGCAGACAGCCGACATGGATGCCCAAAGGGCGGCCACCTTTAGGCTCGATGAGGTGATCAAGAAGGAGGAAAAGAAGGAGAAGGAGAGAGAGAAGAAGAAGGAGAAGAAGAAGAAGAAGAAGGAGAAGAAGAAGAAGAGAGAGAGAGAGAGAGAAGAGAGAGAGAGAGAGAGAGAGAGAGAGAGAGAGA